TGGTGGGATGTAGCTCTTAGCTGCTTTACAGCTTTGGAAAGGACATCACCATCTCGTTGAAGAATGCAGTAGTATTTGCATTAATGAAAGATTGCAGTTAACTGTATGAGATCTATACGATCGCTGGTTTTTCCCTAACGTACTTTCAGATTGTCCCAATAATCACCCCAGCTACCATCAAAAGTTTGAGCTTCTCGAAGTGCCAAAGACTGTAGGTACTTAAATCCAAGAAAGTGAAACATCTGTTTGAATCTCTAACAGTTCTTTATCAAAATCTGGCATTTTCCAAGAAATTTAAATGCAGGCTATTATTTTTTTCTCTTTTTTTCCTGTGAAAAACTGCTATTAACATGTTATTTTTCTCTCTTGGATTTCGTAGCAAAGATGCTGAGCTTTTTCCGTCGAACCCTTGGACGGCGGTCTATGCGTAAGCATGCGGAGAAAGAACGGCTAAGAGAGGCCCAAAGAGCTGCAACCCACATCCCTGCAGCTGGGGATGCAAAATCCATCATTACTTGCCGAGTAGCGCTGCTGGATGGAACAGACGTCAGCGTGGACTTACCGGTACGAGTGATGCAAGTTTGTTTTTAAATACCGTTGGCTTGTGCCAATCTGATTGTGCTCGTTGCTGTTCACCAGCTAGGTAAAGGTGTACCTATTTGTCGTAGCAACCGACCCTGTGACTTGATGTCTACTAAGTTACTGGTCGTAAAAAGGTACCGAAAGAGTAGTTAACTCTGTTTTTCACTGAAACCAGACAGTATTTTGTTAGATGTCACTGTGCCTTATACATTGAACGCTTTCTAGCGTGTTAATGTAATTGTTGTGCCAAGGCTTAACTTGGAGAGGGTAATGTTTCAGATGAATTGGATTTTCTTTTCGGTGAGCTATATATGCATCTTGAGAAGGAAGGTGAATCTCTTGGTGTGATTCTGTTGAAGAGGAGGGATGAGCAGAAGTACCAGCAGTAATTTTTGTGTGGGTTTTGTTTGTTTTGATTTTGTATCAAGGGTGGATGCAGTTTTTAACACTAACTTGAGAGGGGAGGGAAAAAGAAGAATTCGACTTCCTTCCCCTCCTCAGGGCAGATTATATAGCAGGGATTGTCTCATAGCATAGTGCTTTGTTGGTAGTGAGGTGTTAGCCACTGTTTTACATTTCTAAAGCTCTCTTAATATACACGTGTCTGCTCTGCTCTGCTTAATTATATACCTGGTTTTGGCCAACAGGATGAACAGTAGCAATAGAAGCGATGTGCTCTGTTTTTCCATTACCATGTGTTAGTGACTTGTTTTGAGTTTACATAGCTGAGTTAGGAACCTGTGGGTCTGTGAGACCTTCTGACTAGTTCCACAGAATTCTGGCTGCAGTTACAGTTGCACTGACATCGGAGTTGCTGGCTAGAAAGAGCATGCGGAGCAGCCATTCTTGTAATGTCTTTTCTTTCCTCCCTTTTTTATTTTAAGCACAAATCTAGAGTGTTTATAATGTTAGGTAGTCTGAGGAAGGCTCAACTTCTTAGAGTATTGAGTGGTGGTGTTGACATAGCGAGCGGAAATAACTCCTGTGGTGTCCAGAACCCCAAGTAATCTAGAGTTAAAGAAACAGTTTGGCATCTTTATTTGCAAAATGACTATACAGATAGGCGTTTATAGAGGGCAGTAAAACCAATTTGTACATCTCTGAAACAATGTAATGAACATATCCAGTGCTGCTTAGTGCCTAGGATGTTTGATTTCAGGCCAGGAATGC